TGGGTCTAATCCTGCTATTAGAGCAGGAACCACACTGCAGGACCATACAGGAACCATATGGTTCATTCTCTTATTCCAGCATAAATATGAAACAATTTCTTATTTTTTAATGTTAATAACAATCAGTCTATTAGCATCAGCATTGAACTGTCAACACCAAGACAATCCTAGACTACTGTAAAATTATTCCAGGTTCATATTAAAGTAACTGAAGGCTACACTTAGCCTCTTTTATCTTGATGTTTATGTTAGAACTATTCAAAGCATCCTTTAAAAAATATTTTGCAAGCACATTTACACTGTCTTTCAGAGACAGTGGGTAAATTTTTCTCCTCTTTTAGGAGAACTTACATAGTTGTATGCCTTTAGGTATTAGCCAAAACAAAGTGTTCTGGTTATGCACATTTTCAAAGTCTAACCTTTTAATTTGAAAATGCTGTAAGCTTTGTCGTGGCTGTCATGATTTTTCACACAGAATAGACACTGTTGTCCTGAGCTGTGGCTAAAATGTTTAAATCAAGACCCCAGATTACATACTTCACCATGGCTTGCATTGCAAACTTCGCTTTTCTCTATTAAAAAACTGAGAAAGGTAAGTGTGTGTGTGAAAAGAGTGTGTGCCTGTGCCAATACAGGGGAGGCGGTGAGTTCTGAAGGACTACCCACGTACCTTTGAGCTTTTTTAATTTCTGTGAAGCTGGATCTTTAGGATAGCAGATTAAGAGGGTCATTCCATATTTGTAAATAAAAGAAACAGCCCAGATTGCAAGCATCTGGTTCATGAATATGACCTCAAGGTAGCAATACTCATTTACCTCAGGTAAGGACTTGGCTATGATATTGATGGGACCTATTTTTTGGAAACACTGTGGAGCAACTAACTGTCTAGCAACACATTTAATAGCATAGTAATAAAGATTTTCACCCTAATCTCATGCCACATAGCAACATGTAGATTCTTCCATTCACACTAGAGGCAGAAGAACCCCCTAATAACCTTTGATAACTCATCTGAGAAAGGAAAAGCTGATTGTCTTGCTGTTCCTTGCCAGAGTTAACAAAATGAATATTTCTGGTATACGCACAAGCAGAAGACAAAAATTAAACTGTGAGAAAACCAAGTATGAAAACTACGATAACAAGAAGAACAAGTGAAAGGGATAAAGAAAATAGAGAAGGCCAAAAATGAAAATGAAATACTTTCCCTTCTGCAAAAACAGAGAGAGAAATCCAAAGTTTCTGGACTGTGGCAGGGAAATGTTAGAAAAAATGGATAACAGGAAATATATTTTCTTCTCATTAGTAAAAGTCCCAACAGGAAATATATTTTGTTCTTATTAGTAAAAGTCCCAGTGGATTTTATGGATAATTGGTGTTAAGAGCACAGGCCTTTCAGAGCATGAAAAGCCATTGTGCTTCAGTGCTGCATCCTAGCTGGGGTTAGTTTACCAGACAAAGTATGAAACTGTGAGGGAAGGAAGAGCTGCATATACAGGCAGCTGCTTGAGTGAATAAGCAAGGGAAAACACCCAATTAGGGACAAGTGGCATGGCAGAAAAGGGCACAGACACTGTCACGTAAATTTATGAGACAAAAAAGGATTAAAAATGTGAGGTGAATTGCAAAACAAAATAGATCAACTGGCAATCACAGAAATAGAAGAGAAGTACCCACATTTTACAAACTACAGTATGACTTTGGAGAGCACTATATGGGGCTGGCTCTTCATCAGAATGTAAGATAATGGAAATACAACAGAAAATTTCCTCAGGTGAATGTTAAACAATTCACTGATCTTTGGAAGAAAATGTTTGGAGGAGGGAAACATCCAGAAAAGAGAAGGTGGTTGCAGTTGCTTGTCTATTTGACTATCCCATAAATGACGGAGAAATGGAGACTCCAGAAATATTAGACCAATTCCATTTAACTGTTCCATCTTTTGCCTGGAAACATCCACCCATCCACATTATTTTTGCTAGAAGTTTTAGTAGAATTTATTACAACTGGAA